GTGGAGCAGAGTACGACGCACTTTATTGAGACGCTCAACTTTGAGTCGATTCGCGCCGTCTACGAGTGGGCTAAGGGAGAGGTAAGTGGAGCACCTAAAATAAAAAAATAGGAACAGTTTTTCTAACTAGCTTTTCTAATTTTCCCCCTCTTTCAGAGCTTCCTGGAGATGATGAAGCACACCGAGCTGCAGGAGGGCATCATGGTGCGGTGCATCCAACGGGTGGACGAGCTGCTGAAGAACATTCGCCTGGCGGCGAAGAACCTCGAGTCGAAGGAGTTTGAGGAGAAGCTGGAGCGCGCCTCGCGGCTCATTCGCCGCGACATTGTCTTTGCGCCCTCGCTCTACACCGTCCAGGACGGCGTGGTCGGCGTCTTTGAGGAGGAGGAGGAGAGCAGGCCGCAGACGGTCGAGGAGGAGGAGGAGGAGGAAGGAAAGTTAGTGGTGGGCGTGACTGAGGGCAAGAAGAAGAAGAAGAAGAATGCTGATGATAACTCGGTGGAAGGAGATCAGGGAGAGGAAAAGTTTGATGAGGATGATGAAGACGATGACGACGAAGATGACGCCCTCTTCACCTACGACTTTGGCGCCGTCAAAGAGGATGAGGAACTGGAAGGAGGCAATGGGGGCAAATTTCAAGAGGAGGAGCAGTTCAACTCGAACTTTCTTTGAATTTCATGAGCTTCGCTTTTCGGAGGATAGAGTCCATTTACTACCNCTGATGATAACTCGGTGGAAGGAGATCAGGGAGAGGAAAAGTTTGATGAGGATGATGAAGACGATGACGACGAAGATGACGCCCTCTTCACCTACGACTTTGGCGCCGTCAAAGAGGATGAGGAACTGGAAGGAGGCAATGGGGGCAAATTTCAAGAGGAGGAGCAGTTCAACTCGAACTTTCTTTGAATTTCATGAGCTTCGCTTTTCGGAGGATAGAGTCCATTTACTACCCTTCAGGTATAGCTTTTACGATTTGTTCTGTTGTGTCTTCCAAATGTTTTTTTTCTTTTCTACGCAAATGCCTTCTTTTTCCCGTTTTTGTAAATACCGCCGAGCTGCTAAACGCAATTGTTGCAATTTACACGCAATTTATAACTTCCTTTTCCCCTGTTCCCCTTTTTTAAAATTACAGAGTTGCCCTTATCAGTGGCCCCGTGAATTGAAGTCCAAACTCGGATCTCAATCAATCGAAATGTCACCAGCTTTTAATTACTGATCCCAGTGACGCATTTCTCTCTCTCAATGTTTACCATTCCCATCTCCATTAGCAGTGTGCCAGCACCAGCCAA